TTGACTATCCCTTCATCTATGTCATTGATGTAAATCAAAAAGAGCAAAGGTCCTAAGACTGAGCCCTGAGGTCCCCCAGTTTGACTGAACTCCATTTGTAACAACCCTTTGCTTTCTTCCATCCAGCCACTCTTCTATCCAATTTGCTAACTTATTCCCGACACCTATAGACCAACATTTTTTACAAGTCTTTTATTTGACACCTTGTCAAATGCTTTCTGAAAATCCAGATACACCAAACTCTCATCTACATAAGCGGTAACCTTTTCAAAGAATGGTAAAAGATTTGTAAGGCAAGATTTTCCCTAAGTGAAACCATGTTGACTGTCCAATAAAATTCTAAACTTTGCTAAATGACTTTGCAAAGCATCTTTTAACAGACTTTCCAAACTTTTTCCCACAACTGATATAAGACTAATGGGTCTATAATTAGTGTGACAATTTTTATCACCTCCCTTGAAAAGAGAAGTTACATTAGCTAACTTCCAATCCTCTGGTACCTGCTCACTATTCAAGGACTGACAAAAAATAGTAGCAAGTGGCTCACACATCCAATCTTTAACCTACTTCAAAACCCTTGGGAAAATATTATCTGGCCCAGGAACCTTATCATTTTTTAAACTTCCCAATTTTTTCTTAACCAGCTCAGAATTAATGCAGTCATTTTATTTGAACTTGTTTCCATATATCAACTGTTCAAGATGTGGAATACTGCTTGAATCTTCATAATAAAAAACTGAAGAAAAAGTAAAATTTAATAACCCAGCCATTTCATAATCATCAGATAATAGCCTTCCTTTATCATCCCTCAAGGGTCCTATCCCTATCCTAACATTTTGTTCCCCCTCAATGTATTTAAAGAAATCCTTACTGTTAATTTTTACATTTTCAGCCAACTTTTTCTCATACGTACTTTTTGTTGTCCTAATTTTTTGTTTCACTGACTTTCTTGATCTTCTATAATCTTCTAAGTCTCCTGTCACATCAGTCAATCTAAATTTCTTAAATTTATGATGCTTTTCTTTAATTCTATTTCTTAAACTCTTTGTGAGCCAACCTGGTTTTTTTACTTGTAGCTACCCTTTTCTTTCTATTAGGAATATGTTTGCATTGAATATTTAAAAATTTATCTTTAAAAATTTTCCACATCTGATCAGTGTCTCCAAATAACTCAGCTTACCAATTCACAACATATAACTCTTGTCGCATCCCTTCAAAATTTGTGTGGTACATTTTAACTAGAATTAGTGAAAACTGAAAATGTAATTTACTTATATTAATGAAATGCTTGGATTGTGAAAATGATTATAATTTGGACTTAAAGATCATTCTAGAAACTATCTCCACAAGAAGTCATAAAAAATATTAAAACATTAGAGAGGTTGTTAACAGTATTTATGACATATGTTGACTGTTTCTTATTTTCTAGCCAGTGCTTTACTTGCTGCTAAACTTGGTAGTAGTGGTATTGGAATACCTGGATCTACTGCAACAATCAACCCTACATTTGGTGGTTCACCTCTTCGTGGAGTTGTGGGTCTAACAGGTCTTCCACAGATGGTTCCATTTGGTGGTATGTCAGGACTTACAGGCTTCAATATAGTTAATCAGCTAGTTTCAGCAGCCCAAGGTTTACAAGCCACAGTCTCAGCAAGCCCAACAACTACCCTTGCGAATAATGGAGTTAGCACAGTCATGACCAGCGCAACTCCGGCAAGTGTCAGTGCTGCTGTCAGTGGTCAGCATAATGTTCAGCAGGTAACTTTTCTTAATAATAAACCTACCGTTTTTTGATAAGTATCACTATATTAATTCAACAAAGATGTTTTTTTCAGAATTCTGGGTTGTGTTCCAGAATAAAAGTATCTGTAAGATGCTTTGTTTTAGGTCCAATCCTACACATCTGCATTTAAGAATCTCCATAGTTATGCAGAATTACAGGACTACTGTTTCCAACAGAAATTCATAAAATAAAATTATTATGAAAAACAGTAATACCAACAGTGCAATAAACAAATCAAAATACATAAACACAAAATTGTTAACTAAATTTCCATTTTATACTATATCCATTTCACTTGTAATTTACTAACGTTAAATACTGTTAAAACAATACTATATATACAAATACAATTTGTTTATTACACATCATCACATACTGTACATTTGTTAACACTGAAATACATAAACCTCCTGATTAGTTTAAAGATTTTTCATAAGGAACACAAAACAAAATATGGATATATTTCTGTACATTATAAATCTTTTATCACAGTAAGAAAACTTATACAAGAGTAATCCTCAGGCTTAAAGCAAGTATTCAGGGATGCTGAAAAAGCTTGTCAATAAAATATATAAAACAAATATAATAAAGTTAAATAGAGAGAAAAAAAGACACGAAACAATCAAAATCAATACATCAAATATACACTACAACAACTATAAGAAAACATAAAGTTGTAGATCTTTTATTTTTGTTATTTTTTATGTGTTTTATAGCATTTTTTTCTGTAATAATTTTGTACTGGTTTGACATATTCTTAAGATTACACTTTGTTTTTGTTTCAATAAAAAACCCTTCAAAGCTTTTGGTTTTCAGTTTCACAAATTATATGTGTTATTATTTTCTTTTGTTGTTATTTTAAATTTTTTTATACTTCTGTATACTGGTGAAAAATTGTTTAAACCTACCTTTTTTTACAAATATTCATGCCTAAAGATAAGTGTAAACAATAATCAGATCCAACCTCAGCTGTAGAAACTTATATACATATGGTTTCATCATCATAAATTCTGTGTGTTGAAATAGTAGGTGACATATTGACCCTGTTTCTACCTAAAGCTTCAGACTTAAGTCAAATCTTAAATTGAAATATATTCAACTTTTGTCTAAATTGAAAGATCTTAGTCTTCATGAATTAAATTTTATATCTTAGAGTAACTTGTATAACACACACACAATTCAGTAACTATGAAGTAGACAACAAAAAAGGAGCCAATTTTTACAGTCACCTGTAATATTCGTCATGATTTTGAAGCATTTGGTTGTTTGTGGATAACACAATTGAAAAATATATTTATCAAATATATAGAATGAAATTTGATCCACAGGCTAAGTTCTTGATAACATGTTTGAAATGTAAAATGGAACTATGATTGCTTTCTCTAGCTGTTCAGCAGAGCCACCTACAGACTTTATGGGACCTCTGAGTGTCAGTTTCTATATCTAGGTCCTTGCTTGACTGGAAAAGTAATTGATCTTGAAGTAACAAATGCACACTATATTTGCCAACATCTTTAATTTGTCTGGATATCATGAATTAACAGTATAGGATGGAATTTCTACCCTGGTGTAATTCATAGTATGACAAGGTTGTCAAATTTAAAAAAAAAGAACTTCTTATACAAAAGAGAATATGTTATAAAATCTACTTGTTATAAAATCATCTCACAAAACACACATTTAAAAGTAGAATATGAATTTTAGGATTTTACTTTAACAGTGAACACAATATATATATATATATATGTAGAAAATGTTTAAAGTTTTTGTAATTTTATTATGTTATTATTCCTAGAGCTGGCAGTCAAACTTTGCTGAGCACTCACTGTAGACAAAAGCAATGTAATAATATTGTGGCATTAATTTAAATATGTTAGTCTGTTAATGACCGATGGTTTGTGAATGACAGGGTATATGTAATTTTGATTTGAGGTTTAGATGTCACATTTTTAAATATTGACAGTTCAGAATTTTCAAAAACTTGTGTGGCTCCCTAGAAATCTACCTGGAGTTTGTTTTTTTAGCAATAGAATGAATGAGCTGAAAAGAAAAAAAAAACTACTTGTCCAATGGGCAAAGTATAATGGTAAAACTTGTTGTCCTGGCAACCTTGTGATACGAATTCAGGAAATGTCTAGTCATCTCTCATTCATTACTGATTTTTTATCTGTCATTATAAAAAACTTATCAAATTGAAAACTATTTTTTTAGTACTATAAGATTTAGGGTCAATATTAGTAATTTTTACAACAGTCCACAATTTCTAATGACATTATTTCTGTGTTGTTTTTTCAAAATGATGTATTTAAACCATCATTTATAATAATACTAAGAAAACCAAGCATTTCTATAATGTCATCTTCCTCATTTTTAAGGTACACAAGTATCACTCATTATAAATCATCAAGTACTTTGTTTTTATATCTTTTTTTATATTCCTTGCAATGTAATTATGCCTCATAAGTCTTACCTGACCTTCAGATATTGTGCTTTGATTGCATTTTCTAATATTAGCTCATGTAAAAACAGCTTTTCAGCTTCTATCTACAAGCATAATTTTTGACAGTGATTGTAAGCTTTGGTTCAAATAATGGAAAAGAAAATCCACTAAAATCTAATCTAACTTATAAGCATCTTACAACAACCATAAAATAAGGAGTTAACATGAAAATAGAAACGATATGGCATGTGGAAAGAAGATTTTTTATTAAAAGAGTGCCATCTATCACTTGAATAAGTGAAGTACAAGCTAGTGGTCCAGTTTTTTGTTTTTAGCCTGATATTATAATTGTCATTCCTTGTATTTATATTGGATATATATTTCATCTTGTTTGATTTCTTATTTGGCCATAGACTATGAGTTCTGAAAATCACAGAGGCTGATGGCAACTTTGCCAGTATCTCTTGATCTGAATTGTCACAATGGGTAATAAAACTAATAAAATTTATAGAATCAGTTACAGTGATAAGTGGTACTGTATTAAATGAACTAAGTTTAAGTTTGTAAAGCTTCTTACACGTTTTTATTTCTACATGAAGGTTTTATATTTTTGGAAGTGGATACTGATCATATGAATATTGCTTATCTCCTTGATGTTTCCTATCTCAACTTTGATTCTTTTTTTCTATAAGAAAAATGTAAATCCCTGACGTTTTTGTTCTATGTGGTGTATGCTTATGAAGTTAAGATAATTGTTATAGTAATAAAACAGAACATTATGATTAGAAGTATTTTTAAAACATATGTTAATTTAAATTCAAATTTTCCTAGTTACTCTACCCTTTCCAAACCTAAAACTCGAAATAGTGGAGATATCCTTTGCTATATAAGAAACAATTTTTCATTGAATTAACTGTCTCTACTCTTATCCTTAACAATGAGCATTTATTTTGTGTTGTTGATCTTAACAACAATATTGTTATTGCATTGTTATGTCTGTATGTTTCTTCTCAAACAAATCCCGACATTCTAAACTTACAAACTATTTTAAATAGCAATCAAAACATAATAATCATTGGTCACCTATGTTCTAAACACCAAGATTATTTTTGCAATCACACTGATCACAACAGAAGAATTATTTTACCATTTTTAGAGAACAATAATCTTCACACTTTGAACACTTCTACCTAGGACCTCTCACACTCATCACAATGGTTCACAAAACATCCTAGATTTAATAATCACATGAAATGGAAATTTTAACTTTTTCTTTTAGTTTTACTGTTCATTAAAATATTGGTGGAGACTGTAACTCCATATAATAAACTAGAACTATATAAACTGTAGTTCTAATACTGTTTATTTTGCCAAAACCAACTTGATTCTACTCTTTCTTCCTTTCTTACAAACTCTATGTCTTCAGTTGATATTGGTAATTATAATAACAGTATAACTAAGGCAATTCCAGAAGCCATAAAAAGTTCCACCCCATAACACAATGTAAACCTAATATCAGTCATTAGAGATTAACTCTATTAATATACTCACACATCATTGAAAAACACTGACTATGTAATTGTATATTCTTTCACACTAGTATTCCTCATATCACAACTACAATCATTTACCATAATAATACAATTGGAAATTAATTAAAGAATAAATAGAGCATAATTCACAATCTTTTTTTTTTTGCCACTCAGTTGACAACTCTCAAATGAATCCAGGTTATTTCTGGAAAAGATTTAAAACTTAAAACATTTGATCAAATCTCTTGTATTACCTGTCTTTTCAAGTAACATTCAACAATCACCTTTCAAATACTTACTCTGTCCTTAGCCCCCTTTTATATGTCCTACTTGTCAACAACATTTTCTTGTCCAAATTTCCCATTAGTTATGTCTCCCAATTTACTGATGACATGGCATTATGGAGTTACCCCAGTAATCCTCTTGTTATATATATATATATATATATATATACCACTAAAAAGTAAAGAAAATAGTAAACAAAACATCTAACTGGCACTTTAAATAGTACGTAAAATTAACCCCTGACAAAATTCAAACCAAAACATTGTACAGCCAAAACAAAAAGCAAAAACACCAAAAGAGTCTCATAAATTAAACTGTATCTAAATGAATCTTCTTTAAACCTAACAAAAACAATTACAGTTTTAGTTTAACATTTGACCATGAGTTAACATGGCAACCACATGTATTAGAGTGCAGCAAGAAGTTTACGTCTGCTAGGTAAGTAGCAGGTATTAATCGTGGTTGCAATGCATCCTCTATTATCACAATCTACAAAGTCTATATCAAACCCTTAATTGAATACTGCTTTTTCCATAACTAAATAATCTTTCAACAAACTCCAAAAAAAGCTGTAAAATTAGCATATCGTTTTCCGTTCTGTACTCTGATCTCCTACGTTTATAAATACTAAAGTTTTCTTCTTAAATTTCCACTAAGACTGTAAGTTAACAAAACATCTTTTTTCAATATTAGAGTTTATTGGTCCAGCAAGCTTACCTCTCCCAAATTCACAGTTGAAATACTATAAGACATTCAAATAATAATAATTATTTTACAAAATTATTAAACAGTTAGTAATTTAAACATTTTTTTTGCTGACAGTTGTACTGTTGTTGGTTAAATGACTCAAGGATTACTTCATAATTTATTTTTTAATTCAGCTTATTATCATGTTTGCATCCTAAGGCATGAGAAGCTATTTTCATTTCTTTTAACTAGATGATGGCATTTATATGAGCATAATGGAGTACTACATTATTGTATGTAATTAGAAATACAACTTTGTTATTTTGATAAGATGTTATGTGCTGGTTTTTGTTTAATAAAATGTTTACCAAATTTTATACTTTTTTCACATTCATATTTCTCTCCATTTTATGTAAAGCAGTTAGGCAACTGTAAGATGTCATTTTAATTCTTTTTTCCCATTCAGTTATCTCAAGTAGCAAACCCAGGGTTGTCACAGCAGGTTGCCATGACACCCCAGTTCATCTTGGCAGCAGGGCAACCTATTCAAGGTATCCAAGGAGCTCAGTTGCTCATTCCCACATCCTCAGGTAAGAATTTAATTTATCATAAAATATTTATAGTTGGTCAGTTTTCTTATTTAGTATACACCTTTTCCCTTATTTTAGAACAAAATATTTATATATATTTTTTTCATTGTTTAGGGGTTGATACACTTAGTGTCTTTCCTTCAATCCTTGAGTATTTCAGCATTGTATTTTACAAATGAGATTTGTAAGAGAGTAGATGAACATAACCAATAGTTTTAACTGAAATTTCAAGCTGATAAAAATTATTTATACCACTTTGACCAGAACAACTCTTTCTAAACATTTTATTTAGCTGTGGAATCAAACATCAAGTAATTGAATGAATTAACTGTAAAGTATTTGGGAAACCTTAGTTATCTTTTTTTTTCTCAGTAAGAGCAAAGTGACATTTTGAAATCATAGTCATTCATAAAAAATGTATAAAATAAAGGCAATAACTGTCTAGCAATATATAAATTGTTCTAATTCTCACAATTTACATCAACACTTTTAGATTAGTCTTCTGTGACTTGTGAAAAGGAAATTTACAGTTAGTAATTTTTGAAACTTGATAAATGTTAAAGAAAAAATGTAATAATGTGTTTGCATTTGAACAAATTTTTATAAATGTATTTCCTAACAGACCTAAAAAGATGCTTATAAGAGTTTAACAAATGTTTTACCTTCAGTCTCTTGTTTTCAAGTTAGCTGTTTAAATTTTGAGCAGTTTTTGAAATGCTTTTATATTGAAATGGACCATTTTCCTATAATCTGGGATCAAGGCATTATTTTACTTTTTTTATAATAACTGATATTGTTCTATAGGTGTTGCTATTCAGCAGTTGATTACAATTCCAGTGTCTCAGTATGCTGGAAACCAGCTGGTGCAGATGATAGCAACCAATGGACAAATTTTTACAACAACCCTGGCAAATCTACAGTCACTGTCCCAGCCATATCAGATCCCAGGAATTTCTCCAGCAAATTCTGCAGGTTTGTGAGACAGAGTTTTATCCATGCCTTCACAAGGTTAGAATTGAGCCATTTTTGCTATCAAGTTTTTATCTAAATATTGGATAAAATCCTCTAAGGATCTAAATTATTCATTTATCATTTTAGAATGTATTTCAGACATGTTAAAAAAGATGTCATTTCAAATTTTGAGTTGGGATTAAGTAAATATTTTATCACAAATATTTATTCTACTGAACAATACTTCCAAAACTTTATTTTATTAAATATTTATCACAACTATATTATTTTTCTCAATTTACAGGAGCCTCAAATCTGCAACCACAGTCAATGATAACTGCAGGAAATTTGACGAATCCCATACCTCAACTGCTGACTAATGCATCTGGGCAAGTTGTAGCTATTGGGCCACAGGTACTACTTTCTTTTATCTGCTGTGATTATATTGGTACATTGAACCTTATGTTGTTTGGCAAGGGAATTGTTTTCCTTTATGTTTTTAGATAGAATCTAGGATTGTGTAGGCTCTGACTTCTGTGGAAGTACTGTTTGTGAAACTATTTAAATTAAGTGAGGGAAAACAAGCACTTGTATTGGCTGAATATTACAAGCTGGTATTAAACTAAACTCCCACAACTTTTAGACTCCAGAATGGACCTTTTTATTTTCATAGGGGAAAATTAAAATGACTAGATGGTTTTACTAGTTAATTAGTGCTTTATCAGTAGTATTTTTGGGATAATTTTAAACCTTGGTTTATAAGCATATACATTTTCCTTTACATAATTGGAGAGCTGATTTCAAACCTCGATTGGCACTGGTTGTGACATATTTTAAGATATTTGAAAATGGGTACTAAATTAACAACTCTTAAGGTTAACTTTGTAGGTTCAGAGATGAGCCTTGTTAATAAATGGGAAGGAGAGTAACAGACTAAATTACTATTGTGGTTAATGAAAAGTGTTTTAGCTTAAGCAATTAGTGGGGTAACCTTTTAGCATTGTTTAAGGGTTTAAAAAAGGGTCTCATTAGTAACATCTAGCATAAATTTAGTTTTGTTTATTCAGAAAGGCTCTGATTAACACAAAAACTGTGATCAAGCCATTCAGAAAACTACGTTGTTTTTTTTCGCTGCTGCCTGTTGAAACATATTTCATAAATATATGGTTATCATTAATTTTATGTACACTGCCTGCCCTATTATGAAGACATTGTAATGGCTAATTCAAAAACTGAAAACATAGTTAGTAAGCTGCAAATGTATTCAAATTATCATTTATAATGGTTTTTTCATCTACTAATCACCACTGATTTCAATAGGAAGAGGACAGTTAAAGGAAAATATCTTACAGCTTATATATCATTAATTGTATTTTAAACCTCAGTTCTGTTTTATGTAATTTGTTTAATTTTAAGGACAAGGTTTGAGTATTGAAACATGTCTGTGTTGTAAACAAATTACTTGTGTTTGCTGTTAGAAGATTTACATTGTTACTATGGTTTATCATTTATGCCGTATTTGCAGGTGTATAAGATGATACTTTTTATTCTTAAAACAATGCAAAATTTTACCCTTCATGTTATACACAAGTTCAAAGATAGAGTTCCAGTAAGAACTATCCGGTTAATAGCATATTCAACCAAAACTACATTGTTCCTTTTACTTGTGTTTGCTTTTCTGAGTGAGTGCATTGACATAATACCACCTACTGCATTACAATAACATAATTGTAACTGTAACACTTGTATCAATTCTTCATAACTAGAAGTTATTAAACTCACATGCTAGTTACAATTAATCACAACATTTTTTATTTGAGATGTATTGATCTCATTAATCATACTAAAATATTGTTAATATTATATCAAAAAATGTTATTTTCTATAATGTACACTAATTTTTGTAAACGTTTTTTAATAGTAGCTCACTATATCTTAAGGTTTAGTATTTCTTTGTAATAGAAAAGGCATTCAACTGTAATGAAAACAACTTTGTAAGGTTTTGTATTACATGTATGTGACTTGAGTTATGCCACATTGAGCTGTCTGTAGCATTTGAAGAGCATAAAAAACCACACTTGTGATTATACTGACTACCCCAGAGTGCAGCTAGGTTAGCACAATTTAAATATATCTATGAGGAATTTCTTTACAAAAGTTACATCATAGACTTGCCTGACAATAAAGGTTGTACTATACACTAAACCTCAAAGAAATACACATAATTTGTTCAAAAAATCCAGGGCTATCTTTTACATCAGATCCTCTTATATACCAGCAAGCATGGTATGTATGTTTGAAAGAACACCTTGAACCACATATTTGGAATCGGGTTATTTATCTACCATTATTACAACCAGCTTCTTCATAAATGGTAATGTTCAATGCTATTTATGAAAAAAGCTTTTTCTATTCAGAAGTGCTCATCACACAGCAGTTGAAGCCAAGTTTGAATATAAATCACTCTTCATTTTTATTATGTTAGTTGTAAAATTATTTTACTCACAAAACAGGAAAATCTGAAGTGATTTCTGATAGCATTAAAAGTATTTTAACAAAGACTTACGTTTTTTGGCCCATATGGTCTAAAGACAACTTTAGACCATATCAAGTAAGGTTTTGTATTACATGTATGTGATATGTATATAGTTATAATATTGATTTTTACTATGTAGGTTTTTACTCAGCCTGTCATTCCACCAAATCAGTCTACAGCTAACCTCATCCAATACTTACATACATACATACATACATACAATACTTACATCATACATACTTTGATCAAAAGACATCCTCAGCAGTAGAGTGTAATACATACATACATACAATACTTACATCATACATACTTTGATCAAAAGACATCCTCAGCAGTAGAGTGTAATTCTTTATCTTAATTGAAAAATTATTAATTTACAATCTACTAGCCAGAAATTCATGTTGTTAAAGTTAAATATATGTTTATAAAGATTTTGCTGTCTGTAAACTATTATTATAATTTTTTCTATTCTCACTACAAACCTCCTTATAGTAACAGATACTTGTAAATACAGGTGAGTTTATGAATATAAAGAATCAAATGATGCACTGACAAGCATATGTAGATAAGAGAAACAAGTTTGACCTCTAAGACAACCTAACAGATTAAAGAAATATAATTGTAGCTATATTGATTTTTACTATGTAGGTTTTTACTCAGCCTGTCATTCCACCAAATCAGTCTACAGCTAACCTCATCCAAATGGCTCCACAGTTGGCAGCACAACTGCAACAACAACAGCTTATCCAACAGCAACAACTACTCTCAGTACAGGAAGAGAAGCAAGTCTCACCACAAAATAGTAATCAGCCAATTGCATTGGTGTCCAAATCACAGGTAAGGTGAAATGAAGATGAGGAAAACAGACAGACTAAGAGTTAAAGATTATTGTGTAGTTACTGCTTGTTCTCAAATGTTTAAATAAAACCTCAAAGAGCAAACATGATTAAATTTGTCATCATTGTGATAACAGGCATCATATCTCTCACTTTTTCAAGGAGTGCAGGTTGACAAAAATAATGTAAATACAAAAAGTTTTGAAACTTTTCAAATTTTTGTAGCACTGCTATTAGTTTTTAATAAATTTAGTATTTCCACATTATTTTTGGAAAGCAACAGTTTTATTTTATAAACAAGAGAACAGTTTGCCTCAAACTTTAATATAGCATCGATAAACTCTGTCTCTATTACATAGCCTTATTTCACAGATATTTTGTCAATTTCAACCTTTCATTATATAGAATATATATATATATATGTATGTGTTGTATTCTCAGGTGAAATTGATTTCTCCAAAAAGTGACTAGATAAGTCTGCAAAATAACAAAAGATTATTATGTTATTATGAAGCACAGTGAACAATCTTTATTCAGAATAAATACAACACAAAAACTGTGTGTATTTATATGATGCTCACCTTTTATTAGAGATCAAAATTAAAAACTATTTCTCTTTTGAGTTTTTATTTCCAGACTGACAAAGTATCATGTTAGTAAGGTAAGTCAATAACATGAAAATTAACCAGATTGACTTTCACTACCCACTTAACTGGTCATTCATATTCAAACATAAGGGAGGTCATAACCTCAAGATATCACCTGAATGCCAATGGAACAAATGGCTGTCTAACTACACATACCATGTACGACCTTACAGTTACCTTTCCTACAGGAAGACAAAAGATGTTATCCCTGGTGAATGACACAGAACAACAAGAATCTAGAGCAGCATACGTTTAACAACCTAAAACTGCACATACATGTATATAAATGAAAATATAATACCTTTTCTGAAAATATTATAAAAAATTACACAAGTACTGCACAGATATAATATTCTTAACAACTGGTTTAACTTCCATTAAACAAAATTTTCAAAGTTTGTACTTTACACATTCACAGAAGACTGTAACCATATTAAAGGGTTCTTGTGCTTGTTTCTCTAATCTCTAATTTTGTCTTTTTTCATATTTTAAGACTTCAGTCTGTCATTAGCAAGAACCCTGAACTATCGTGTTCACATATGCTGTTCATGTGTTGAATTATGATCCTATAAAATAGATCACAATATACAAAATTCTTGAAAAAAAAATAATTTTGAGAGAAAGTTAACTGTATTAAATGGTGAAGCCACCTACAAGTAATCTGATTTTTATGAATTTAGTGTGATTAAAATGTCTTCAGCTTTTCTTGTTGAATATTTTTACAGTTTTTAATGTCAACATTTTACTAATACACTAAAATTCGTCAAAAAAATTCAGTGTTTTAAATAATAATATTTCATTTAGATGATAAGACTATAAAATATTTACTTATTACATGCTAAAATGTTTTGTGTTAAAATAAACAGTTCCACAATTCAGTAGTTTTTCAAGATAAGATATTGATACAGATTAATTTATTACTTTCATCTTTGTTGCTAGATTAAGCTGCATAAATCATACAAGCTCTACATTTTTTTGTTGTTGTTTCAAGTATTTTTAGACAAAACCATTCTGCTTGTTTTGCTGTTATTTTTTAATTTCTGTTGCTCCAACTACTTTCATTATTTGAGCTTGAATGTTCCTTCACACAAATTCTGTTTTGTTGATAATCTAGTTGATTGTTTATTAAATTATGGCTTTCCTGTAAGACATAACTTAGAGATACACTGTTTAACATATCGTTGATCAGCACAAATTGTGGATATATAAGCCATACTACATGCTATTTACTTATAAATTTTGGTAAAGTGGCGCATACTGATTCAGATTATACTTCAAATCTTTTTTTTTCATCAGTCATTTTAGTGCTTCCTCTTTTAACCCATTGTAGCATCTGTCTAAACAAATACCAGTTTCAAAACTACAATGTTCATTGTGACATGCCACACTGATGACTCAGTAATAAACTGGAAGGCTGTTAATGCTGAAATTCATGATTGAATCCCTGTGGTGAACATAGCACAGTTAGCCATTGCACATCTTTGAAATTAAGTAAAATAGTAATTGTGAAATATTTATGTAATTAGATATCAAGCATAAATCAGGTGTTTTATATAATTGGCATAATTTACTGAGAATGTATTGCTAATAGTTTTTATATGGCATTTTTTAATTTGTAAAATAAATTATACTTATTCCAGCCTTCAGCAATTACCATAACACCTAGTACACAAGCCTTGGGAAACCAACAGCCAACGTCTCAACTTTCATTGAATCAGGTTGCCATGGTGACAGCTCATCTAGCTGCTCAAGCAAAACATAGTTCTTCTGTACAAGTGAGTGTCCAATAAAACACAGATTGAATTCATGCTTAAGATGGATTTTTGTAAAAACCATGCCAGCTTATCTAATTACATCTTTCAGATTTAGTTTGAAAAACAATTTGTATTTGATGTACTGAAATTAATTTGGAATTCTATCAATATTTTTGTTTATTTTTGGGTTTTTTATTCTAAGATTTAGACATTATTTAATAAAAAAATTCATGGCCAAAAAGGTTTGTGACAGCTCATCTAGCTGCTCAAGCAAAACATAGTTCTTCTGTACAAGTGAGTGTCCAATAAAACACAGATTGAATTCATGCTGAAGATGGATTTTTGTAAAAAACCATGCCAGCTTATCTAATTACATCTTTCAGATTTAGTTTGAAAAACAATTTGTATTTGATGTACTGAAATTAATTTGGAATTCTATCAATATTTTTGTTTTATTTTTGGGGTTTTTTTATTCTAAGATTTAGACATTATTTAAATAAAGAAATTCATGGCCAAAAAGGTTTGTTCAGTTTGGTTTGAATTTTGCGCTAAGCTACACAAGGGCTATCTGCGCTAGCCGTCCCTAATTTAGCAATGTAAAACTAGAGGGAAGGCAGCTAGTCCTCACCACCAACTGCCAATACTTGGGCTACTCTTTTAACAACGAACAGTGGGATTGACCATCACATTATAATGCCCCCACAGCTGAAAGGACGAGCATGTTTGGTGTGGCGGGGATTCGAACCCGCGACCTTCAGATTGCAAGTCAAGTACCCTAACCACCTGGCCATGCTGGGCCCGGCCAAAAAAAAACTGATGAGGGTTTATTACTAAGTCTGTATTATAATTTGTTGTATTGTGAGTAACAGTGGTTTGAAATGGTCAAGTGTTTGGTTTAGAGCTAGGGGAGTTATCTTCTGTTAGAATGGAAATCTTCAAGAAAGCAGGATACAAGTAACAACAAAAAATTTGAGGCCAAATAACTTAAGGAAATAAAAACAATAACTGGAGAGGTTAATCATAGTCATAGTTTAAAAATGCTTAAGCGATACAACATCACATTTTTACTGTGGAAACTTAATCAAGCATAGAAGCTCTGCATCATTTCATTTTGAAAAATCATCTACTTCCCCATAAATTTACCAATACTTGCCATCATTTAGGCTCCTCACAATGGTCTTTTCTATCTTGTTTTTTGCTTTCAGACTTTACTTATTCTTCAGGTTTATACATTATTTGAAGTACATCTTCACATTTCTCTTTTTTTTTATTTTTCACATTTATTTCATTAAGGGGAGGAGGTGTGTCACTCTTAGTTCTCCATGTTCTCTGGAAGGCTGTAAAAGTATTGATATCCACAAAAGTAATTTACTTCTCTCTCTTTTTTTCCTATTTTTTTAGGGAAATGTATTTTTATTCAGTTTTGTAGTATACATTTGCTTGGCTTTGTTTGTTACTTAAGTTTCTTGAGACTTCACATACAAAGTGATCTGACCATCTTCATAATGTATAAGATTTAGTTTCCAAAGCAGGAAGACTGAATGTATAATTTTTCTTCTTAAATATATTAATGCAAAACTATAAGCTTTAAGTGAATAATCATACTTTTGTTGCTGCTGATATCTAGTTTTATACTTCTGCACTGTATGCTTTTACTAAAGAAACATTACTTGTTAAAAGATTTAAGCATGTACAAAGTCAGAACACATATGTCCAAATGCAAGAATAATTTATTTTTTCACAAGGTTTCTTTATATTTGATTTATAACATGTCAAATAATTTTGATATAAATAACGACCTCAAGAAAAATATTTTCAATTATTAATATAAACATAATGAACTCAAAATATTTTAATGTGCTTAATAATCATATCCCAAAATGCCACAGATACTTTGTGTTTTTTTTAAGTACATATGTGCCTTTCAATTAATATCTACTTGTGTAAAGACTGTCTTTTGAAATGGTGCCATATGGAATACAATTGAGTTTGTGGTATTTTTATCGTAGACAATGGCTCAACATTTATCTCCAACACAAGATACCCCTCTCACTCATGCATCACAAGAAACTGTCAGAGGGGGAATACCTTCACCAGTAGATGGCACTCCAACTATTGCCACACTTCAAGCTACAAGTATGTTTTGTCACAATACAGGCTAGTATTTGTTTTATTCTTTCTCTTTATGTAATATGAGTCTTTCATAGGATACATATATGTTAAGAATCTTAATTTGAGTTGTGCAATGTTTTCAAGTATTATTGGGAATGAACATAACATTAAAGGACAACAACAGACCTTTTTGTCCATCTAGGCTATTCTATTCATTAAATTAAACTAAACTCTTAAAACTCAAAACCAGCGCTTATCATTCAAATATTTATCAAGCTTTCCCCTAAACTCCCTTAAATTAACTGCATCTACTACACCTGAAAGTAATTTAATTCAAAGTCCAACCACAGTGTTAGAAAAATAAAGCTGCCTTAACTGAAAATGACTCCTATCCTGCCAATATTTAGATTTATGGCCCCTAGTCTTACCAATCTCATCATTAAGTATGAAAAAAATTATGCATTAACACTATCAATCCCCCTAACAATCTTAAACATCTCAATAAGATCCTTTCTAATTTTTCTTTTTGAAGAGAAAACAAGTTCAGAGATTTTGACCTATCCTTGCATGATAACCTTTTCATCCTAGTAGCCCTCCTGTGAACACTTTCCAAAAATTCAATGCACTTTCTAAGATAAGGAACCAAATAATGAACACAATACTCCAAATGTAATTTAACCAATGACATTAATTTAGACTTGTAAGCCTCCTTAGATATTAAAGTTCTCTTTACAATTATGCCCTAATGAGTGACCTCTGAAGTCAAGCAACTGATAAAGGAAGTAATAAAGAAGATAAAAGATAGAAGAGTTGAAGTATTGTTGTGTTTTAATATATATGTATATTGATATTAGTCAACATATTATTTTTTTGCATAAAATCAGTAAGTCAGGTAAGTATGATATTACATTTTCTTTAAGTGTGAGCTCAATGACTTACTGCAAGTATATGAAATGACTTTTTTTGCATATCTTTATGTACATATTTGGAAGATAATGTGATTTCAGCTATATTTTTGAAAGGCAAAATAAATAGCTTTGTTTATCTAACTAGCCTTTCATCCTATTATGAATATGGTGTAATCAATTTGATACTTCTTACTTTCTGAAGAGAAATATATAAATATGTAAAAAAATGAAAGACTTGCATTGTCCTCATATGAAATGTAAACCATTTTGTTGCATTTTCCCCACAGAATAGGTAATTTGTTTTTTTTTAGTCATTGTTTCTTTTTAGCTAGTGAACCATGCGATTCAAAATGATTTAAACAGTTGCTTTAAAAATATCGTAACCAGATGAGAGGTTTTTTTCATAATAAATGTTATAGATGTGAATTTTACTTTGAAACACTTATGTGTTATTCTGAATAAAGTTTCTGTGGATACCTGCAGGAGTCTGATGTAAAGATAGAGTATACAAAAAAAAATGTTTGCAGATGAACCAAGCTCTTAATGTGTCATTTGCTTATGGCAATTGTCTCTCAGTCTTTTCTTTGCTATTTACAAAAGTTCATGTTGTGATTTAATAGGGACACTAAACTGTTTGTTTCCAGGTGATTAACATTGATTGGAGTTTCAAAACAAAATACAAGGTTTTAATAAATCCTTTTGCTTCTTCAGGTAAAGGTTTAACAACACTTAATTTTTAACATGAGCATTGAAATTATTTACAATTTCACAGTGAACAAAAGAAATATCATCTAAGAGACACAAAAATTTTAATATTGAAAACTGTATTATGCTTAAAATGGCATATCACAAACAAACTTTTGTAAGAATTCTTGTGCATAATTCTCAGTTTATTCAAATATTTAGTAAACATGTTTAATTTGATTATTTTTTAATATTAGCAAATAAGGTACAATAACCAATCATATTGACATAGAAACAAGTTGGATAAGGATGGTGCAAGTCTTGAGCCCTTAGCAAATCCATTAATCTGATCATAAAGCTGATTATTCAACATAGTTCTCACATCGAATTTGTATAGAATCTTAACTAGAGCCAGTGATGACAAAATCCTCCGTATAAAAGAGAGCCTCTAATTCAGAAACTGAGACCTGAAATTAATACTGTTGAATCAGAAGGTTATTCTTAAGGTTATTAAATGTAAACTTTGTTCTTTATCATTGTTTTCTTTTGATAATAAATCACTATGATTAAGCAAACATAAAAAGGAAATATAAGTTGTCTAGTTGTTATAAATGTCCAATAAATCAAGTAATAAAAAATACTTTATAGTCATTTTCATTTGGTATGTGTGACTTCCAATAAAATTTATTCCCATTCACAACAAATAAAAAAATTAGTAATTGAAATTGGTCCATATATATAGTTATTAGCAGAGATTTTCATTAAAATTTATATTTGCAGACACTATCAATAACCAAACATCAAATATAGTTGATGGAATCAATCTAGAAGAAATCAAAGAGTTTGCCAAAGCTTTCAAAATTCGACGTTTATCTCTTGGCTTGACACAAACTCAAGTCGGACAAGCTCTAAGTGCAACAGAAGGTCCTTCCTATAGCCAAAGTGCCATCTGTAGGTAAATATACATTTAAAGTATTTCACTGTCATGTAAATAGGTAAAAAATTCTCATTAATGGCAGGTTTATTTTTAGATACACAATAACCAAATATTGTAATATTACATCGCTTATCAAAAAACTCGAAAGCAGTAAATTTTGGGAAGTTTGAAAGGAAATACTCTTTCTTCGTGGTAGTACAAGATTCCAAACTCACCTGACAGTGACCTAGAGTGGAGGAGGACATATATAATAGTGAAAGAGTTAAGAAAAAATTTTTTTTTATAATCTAACAAAATATTAGCATGTTTTATACATACTTAACTATGAAAATCCAAAAATGAAAAATAGGCATAAGAAATTTAATCCTCTATACTGAGAAAATTGTTGTTTGTTATTAAACACAAAGCACTATCTGTCTCTCGTAGGGTGACTAATTATTGTAATGTGATATAATTAAACAGAATTATTTGCAATCTCTTTTTGTCAGATTTGAAAAACTAGACATAACCCCAAAGAGTGCTCAAAAAATCAAACCTGTTCTTGAGAGATGGATGAAAGAGGCAGAAGAAAGGTATAAAAATGGAGATCATAATTTGACTGAGTTCATTGGAAGTGAGCCAAGTAAGAAAAGGAAGAGAAGGACATCCTTCACACCTGCAGCACTAGAAATACTTAACCAATTTTTTGAGAAGAACACCCACCCTTCAGGTTGGTTATTTTAGGGTTAAAATAACATCAACTTTTTTATAAATTCTTTGAGTTTGCATGTTAATGATATAGGAAAAAGTTTATACCAATTATTTAAGTTTGTCATCACGTACTACATATTCATAAAAATAGTTTCAGGTATTCATTTTAATGTAATATAATAAACTTATTTTCTATTTCACCATGTAGGATACAATTACATGGACAGATTTAAGAAATTTTTAGTATATACTAAATGTAGAAAATTTATCACTTCTAAATTGTTTTCATTAATAAATAATAACACTTAAGAATATCCAGAGTCTAATTTGGGTCAGATGGGGTATCACTTGGGCCTCCCCTAATAAGTGTAAGTAAATAAAAATTTATTTTTATTACAGGCCTTGGTGCAGCTGCCTCACCCTTAATATGGCCCTGATATACTCTATAATTTTTTCATCTCTATTTTTAAATAATGTCAGAATTTAAAAATATATATTCTTCTTCTTGTCAATAGTATAAATAAATACTATGTTGTTGTTGGGCTTAGGATTCTTCTAGAGTAGGTGTCTGTGACTTGTTAGCAATAAATTCAATGATGAATAAACAGCATGCACTTCACTTGTTTTTAAATAATATATATATATTCGGAACAAGTTAAACATATGTACAACAAAGTCTTCACACTATAGATATTATAAGCATATCACGAACCCTATATATGTAGTTCTGTCCTTGTCAAAATTCCACTCAGGCCTATTCAATTACTTTAGAATTTCAGTTCACAAGCCGAACTATCTTCTCTATTATTATCGCACTAGTATCCAGTGTGTTATTCACTTACAATTGTGGCACGAGTTACCATAATCGTTTAGTCTTCTTTCTTCTGAAGATCCTACTTTTTTTCGTAAAAGTGCACTCAGGCTGATTCAATTATATTAGAACCATGCTTTGAAGGGATATATTATTTTCCTTATCTCCATTTCTACTGTTAGTCTTACTCTAACATATTGAATGATAGGCCTATGTCAATCGTTAGGGCTATCACTTCCACAGTACTTAACTTTTCCTTTTGTAACTTTACTTTCTTCTGCTATTATTTGACTTCTGCTTTCCACTCATCTCACGCTATTTATATCTTTTTCACCTAATCGTCTGTCCTCCTTCTATATTCTTGATGTCAATGTATTATTAACAGAACTTCCTAAAAGTGTCTGCTTTTAATTCTTATTATAACAAAAAATAAAGAATAATAAAATATCCACTCACAAAAACAAATCAATCAGTAACATCTACACCAAACAGTCTTTTATATCATGACAAATAACCTTGTTTTGTGCTATAAAAAACATAGTTTAATTTTCTTCTTCATACATTTATTTTATAAAGTGATGTAATGGTAGAAGAATAGACTGATATATATATTTTTTCCTGTTACACAGATACAATGTGACTTTTCAGGATTTTCAAAGGAAGCATTTAGTTGGAAGATAAGCATCCATCAATTTAAAAAAAAATGGAATCAGAATTACTTTCAGGGTTATATGCTCATCTACCACTGAGGAAGCTCAACTTTTCTCATCAGTTAAATTCTACCATTATTATTTTTACAAAAAAAAAAAAAAAACAAAGAAGTAACTTTCCCTTTTTGAATGTGAAGTATTATTGACTTAGTAGTTTTGTTTGTGTGTAGTTAAGCACAAAGCTACACAGTGAGCTATCTGTGCTCTGCCCATCATGGGTATTGAAACCCAGTTTCTAGTGTTTAAGTCCACAGACATACTGCTGTGCCACTGGGGGTTGACTCCTGTATTAAATTTTTTTCTAAATATTAAAGTGATCTTTTACCCAAATATTTAGTTTGAGCATGGTTTTATTACAGTGTTATCACTGTTTTCTGAATTTTTACAAATCCTAATATAGAGTTCAAACATTTTCACAGGAGCTGAGATGACAGAATTAGCCGAGCAGTTGAACTACGAAAGGGAAGTAGTTCGAGTGTGGTTCTGTAACAGACGACAAGCCCTGAAAAATACAATCAAGAAACTGAAAGGAGGAACTTGATTTCACTTTGTTCATTTCTGCCATCTCAGTATACCTGTTGTAAAGTTTGTCAGTCATTTATTGAAAATGCTCTGTATATTAAAGAACTGGATGCTCATTCAGAGGATAAACTACTTAATCCAAGGTGGCATTCTTTTCATGATGAATGCCTCGGTAGCTTAATTTCTTCCTAATCACAGGTGTTTAGACTGTGTTGTGGATCAGCTCAATTTTATACTAAAAAACAAAAGAAATAGATATTATTGTTAAAGTACTGTAAATAATATGCTGAATGTGTTTTAAGGAGCATTCACCAAATCAGTGTAGAAATACAGATTTTTTTTTCCTTCAACTACCACATTACAGTAAACAACATTAAGGATCAAGATTTCTTTTTTTTTTCATTAGAAGATTCAGGCAACTAATGTAAAGGAAACTTTACTCTCATTAGAAAGGAAGGGCTTATATTAGCCTTATGTTGGAAGGCATATTTCATACATCTTAACTTGACTTGGTTGCAAATATTCTGCATTTTTTATATGTATATTATATATGTATTAATTTTAACGTTTTAGATCATTTGTTTAAAGTAGTAATCAAATACACAGATAAGAAACAGATATTATATGCTCTTCAGAAAACTTCTAAAATCATGTTACTAGTGTTTACAGGGATTATTGTAAATTTCTAATTTTTAAAAATGTACAAGTTAAAGGACTCTGTATTCTTCATCTATTCTATAAAATTATTGACCTAGTTTTCATCTGATATACTTATGTTGCTTTCATTCAAGTTTTTTCTCCTACTAATTTACTACACTTTAGATCACTAAAGTTTCACTTATTTTATGTAGAAGCTGCATCACACTTTTTCAGGGACATTCTACTTTTATTTATAAATAATCATAGTAAATTAAGCAAAATATTACCATATCAATTTCCTACATCATTTTACAATGGGTTGTTTGCTCTTTTTTTAAATATATTTGACCTGTGTTTTTAATGCTCTCTTTCTATAGTATGTTATATTCTGTTCTGTGTTGTAGCCCTGAATCTATCGGCTGGTCAACTAATAAATATTCTGAAAAAAGGAAGCTTTATATGAGAAATATTTAGGGTCAGTTCAGTCCTCCTTTTCTACAAAAGTTTTCCAGAGCTTATTAAGTTTCCAGTCCCCCAAACACTGCTGTACAAGTCAATTATCTGTTTGTAGTAAATGGAATGATTTGGTACAATTCCCCTAACACTGCTGTACAAGACAATTATCTATTAGTATTAGAGTGAATAGTTTGATACAGTTCCCCAAACTCTGCTGTACACAACAATTATATGTTAATATTGGCTCGAATGATTGATACATTTCCTCAAACACTGCTGCACAAGACAATTATCTGTTAGTATTAGGTCGAATAGTTTGATACAGTTCCTCAAACACTGCTGTATAACAAAATCATCAGTTAGCATCAGATCGAATTATTTGATACATGTATTTTAAAATAAAATCATATTGATTTCAGTCTTTTTACTTCCTTTGCTAAAGCACACGTGTAGATCATTACATGATGTAATACTATGAGTAGACTATCACTGCCATGCAAAAGAGAATCTTTTGAGCTTGCCACCATAACTTATTTCTTTGACAATAATACAAACTTCCAACATTCTGTCTTTGTCATAAATATACCAAGCTTCATATATTTTTAACACAACTACAGTAAAGTATTTCTCACAATGTTATTCATTAATTTAGATAAAGCAAGTAGCCTACCACCTCATGTACTTTGTAAAATCCACTCATACCATAACCACAGAAGTATGGAGTGATTTGTTTCAATTAATTGATACCTTATATTTTGCAGCATAGTTTTATTAAATTGTACACTTACTGTACTAGTACCAAGGATTTATTCCCTCAATACTAGTTTCCAAAGTACAATAAGAACACTCAACTCTATGATTAAGACTAATGTTCTTTTTATTCTTTCATGATTCTGTTGGAATAATGTTGCAAGTGTTATTTTATGCCCTCTAACACCTGTATTGAGGATTTTTATTTAACAAAGACATGCCTGAAATGCCAAAGAACTTTTGATTTATATAGAAATACTCATTAATGTATCAATGCATTATTTAAGATTATGATTTTTTTCATCTGTTATCAGTCAGATGATTTTCTTTAAGCTTTCTGCTGTTGAATTTCATTTCAAAAATCTGATAACAACAAGACTTCTACAAAAGAGCTTTCAATCGGTTTTCTTTTCTTTTGTTTTACTATTTTTTTTTTGTATATCAAAGTAGGGGGTTTCAATGATTTTTAAGTAATGAAAAATAACAAAACAATTCACACATCATTGGATTCCACAATTACAAATTAATAGATTTACACTGCAAGTTCAATTATATAGTTAATAATTAATGAAAAACAATTAAAAATTGTACCTGCAAATTGACCTTTCACTACACGCTACCTTCCCATTGGAACAATGTTAACAAAATATCAGTAATTGATATCAAATTATCGTTTTACCTGGTAACCTGATACTGTGATACACCTGTGTCAAGGCAAGATGAAATGTAGTCCCAATAAAGTCCATCAATTTCAAACTCACACATGTGGATTCATATTATTTAGATAGATGAGATGAAAATTGTCAACAACCAAATATTAAAAATGAAGTGTGAGCTTAACTATGTACCTATGAGAGTATAGTAAAGATTTTGTAATCGTATTGAAATACCGTAATTGACAGATATGTACCAGTAGTAACCTCCACCCATTCTACGTCATGTAATGATGTAATTGATACATTGTTGATACCACTTTTATTACAGGCTATTGTAGCAGACGTTTTTTTGCTCTTGACACACTCAATGATATAACGTATAGCAAACTGTTGTTAGGACAACATTATGTCTGTTTATGCCTGATGATATGATCTAAAACTTGTTACCAAGCCAACATGTAGACTGTTTACATTTTCCATTCATTATTTTTTTACAGTTTGAGTTGGGCAGACATATCTATGTATCAGTTTATGCATTATGTAATCTGCACCACATAGTTTATTGTATGGCCTTGTTTCTACAGATTCAATGGCTAAAAAGAATTTTAAATGGTTTTAAAGTTTTGTTTGTTTTCAAATAGTAAATGCTTCTAGATCCAATGAAACCAGCCAGACCAAAGTAGAGCATGAAGAAAGCTATCATTTGATGTATCACTAACTCTTATTGGTCCAGCCGATTTGAACCAACACCCTGTTTTTGGTTTTAGTATTCGCTCGCTGGTTTCTGATAAATGGTGGAAGATGAGTTTAGCGATCATCACAGTGTTTTTAAAGCTGATTTACAACTAGTGGGAGTACAGTTGCCTTGAAATAAATCATGCAAATTCAGCATTATCATTTGTTTGTTTTTTTTGGTGTACAGTAATTAGTATTTTGTTTATGTGAGATTTATATATTCACAACTGAGATTTTGCATTCACACACTTCCATGGCCAGGAACTATAGTTCTCTGGGACCCCCTAATTGATGAAGCACATGCAAGTTTTTTGCCTGAAAAATCACTTTTGTGATGTACAATTGCACTAATCGTATAATGGTAGATTTTTGGGTATTTCTTCAATAACAAGTATAAACATCCTTTACTAATATGTTTGGATCTGTATAATTGAATTTTTGGTATTTTTTCTTGTACTGATTTGATTATGAAGGAATAAGAATACCCTTCCACTGAAAGAATAACAGTCTAACCTCTAGCTAATGATAAAAAACAATCATATCCTTTAGTACACAGCACGAAAGCAGATTTCAATCTACCAAACATAACCTTTGTGCCTCATTAATGTTAACTGTAATGTGTATGATCACATCAAATATATTAACAAAAAAAGTGCGAGCAACCCTACCAATATTGTATTTCCACAATATGGCACTTGAGTGATATTTTAGTTACTGTTATGAAAATGCTCACATCTTTATATAATATTGCCGTTATTTTTATTTTACTTTTAGTGGACTAAAATGTGCCATTGTTGTTTTAGTCTTCAGGGATATTTGTCAATATTTTGATAGCAACAACTTTAAGCTACAATTTGTTAAGATTGTATGCATTGAAAGGAACTGAAAATGTTTTGTTAGATCTGAAAGTTAAGGGAAAATGTGTTATGCAAATTATACATCTATATCATATATTTGTTTTTTAATGTGTTACAATTATAAGAAATTTTTAAGTTTATTAGTTTTTGTTCATTTCAGTTTCATTGGTTTTAATAGGAAAGCCTTACTGTTATACTCATTTTATATTGCTCTGTCTGTGAACACAGTAGTCAGTTGTAATCACCATTTCATGAAACAAAATAAAATCAATAATTTTTCAGGTTTGCATGTGTTCAACCCATTGACATAATAACTTAATAAAATACCAGAAAAACATTGTTTGTGTAAAATAGGCAGAAGTTGTCTCACAGTCTTTAGCTTATTAAACAAATGATATTTCTTGTCTTTAATAGATGCTTTTTTAATTGACTGAAAATATTTTTTGAAAAAATAACTAGACCACAGTAATCCTAAAATAAAGAGAGCAACAAGCAAAGTGCAGAACTTCTGTCTTATATGATCTTAATGTTTCAAAATTACTAGTCATATATTCTTGAGCATTCCACATATATTTGGTTGAATTATATATTTCTTAAAGATGTAAAGTAGCTTTTAAATTTTTGTGTGCTATGTATAAATGATTCTACATTTTTGTATTCATTTTAATGTGCTTTCTTTAACGTTTAATATGCCCATGACAGATTATTAATGTCTTTTTTTTCTGCTTTATTTTGTGCAAATTGTTTAGAACAATTTGCATTCACTAATAGGCAAACATGAGATAAAAAATTGGTCTGCTGCCTTCATTAGTAGAAACAGAATATATTTTTGCATAATAAATCATTACCATACTGAAGTGAGCTGCTTGTTTATTATATTCTTTCAACCATTATGTACAAATAGAAAGAAAAAATGTCAAATGAAAAATATGAGAAAAATTGTGCTATACAACATGAAAATGTGATTAATAACTTTGAATGTGTTGATTCTTGGGTAATACATAACTGTAAAAGAAATGTGTCTTGCATTGAAATTAACAAAAACTCATTTCATTGTTTCTGTCTAATTAATATGATCTCAATAATTTTCAGGATAAATTATGTAAGTTCAAAACTGTTTTTATACTAATTACTATTGCTTCTGCAATCATAAAAAATTTACAATTTATTGCAAACTTTGTTTTTTGCATATAACTGTGAGAGAGAGAACAAAAATAATTTTTTAGTTTCATTTAATTGTTGTACCTTAACACTCTTAAGGTACACGAACTTCAGGTATCACATGCACCTATAATCTGAGATGATATTGTTGACAAAAAAATTATACGTGACATATTTCTTCCAGTATGTCTTCACTTTTCAAAATATTACCCTTTTGTGCTTACTTAGGTACAAACAAACCCATTGTGTAGTCATTATAGCTATGTTTAATGAATTATAATTAATTGATAAGCTAAAGAACATTAATTCTCTGACTACCAGAAAATGGGTGTAGTAAGACTTAGGAACATACACTTAGCTTACTATGAACTTTTAATGGAAATATAACAGATTATCTAAAGTTTGTGATATATCATGTTTTAATTCCTTGTGTTATTGTTAGATGGCAATCATGTATGAATGAATAGCAATTCTTTGATTTAGAGGACACACTCATCTTGGACATGTGATAAAATTCTGAAGTCCTTTGCAGGTTGAAACTGTATCACAGAACTTACTGGAATGTTTATAGATGTCTGTCTTATATATGTATCAATAAATTGTTCATGCTCTTTGATACATGAATTTAATTATTAAATCATAGATCCAAAGTTTTTGCCATAAGGACACTGGCACATTGATATTGAAAACTGGCAAAGGGATCCTATCTATATACCTGAAAAAATGATTGAGAGTAAGTTCAGGTTTGAATGCAGTTGTTAAAGATACTTGAAAATGTATAAATGTATATTCAATGACATTTTTTAACTTCTTCTTAAGTCTCAAAGCATGTAAACCAGCAAATGTTAATGCAGGTATTAATGATCATTTTGAAACATAATATTTTTCCACTTTAGGAGTGTAAATAAGTTTGAAATATTTATTACTCACCTTGTCAAAGTAAAGTTTTTGGATAAGAATTCTTCTGGAGGTAAAACCAATGTTTTTAACTTTTTTTTACGAAAAGCTGATTGAGAACTGACTATCTTATAAACATTGTGAATCAAAATATTGATTAAATTAATCTTAAACTAAAAAGTACAAAGCTATCAAAATAAGAATATAAGCCTATAAAAGCTGATTTATGATAACATTTTGTTTTAAAACTTTTTATGGAATTTAGAATTTCAAGATCAAGAAAAGGAGTTGACTCTTTTTGTTAAATGTTGAAAAGCTAAATATTTCAAAATGCTTTTATCATGTTCTTTCTTTCTAAATACAATGAAAATGTCATCATAATATATTTTATACTGTAATGGTTTATATTATTTGAAACACTTTTAACTATTTTGATGAAAACTTAAGAACAGATTTGTCCATCTGATTGTCTTGATTCAACAAGTATTTGGAACTTATTTACCCTCCTAAAGTTGAAAAAATGTTCAGTGCCAAAATTATTATTAATATGTGCACTATCATTTACTGGTTTGAAATTTAAGAAGTCAAAGAATCTCACTGAATCTATATATGTATCTTCAAATGTCTTTAACAATCATGCTCAAACATCAACTTCATTTCAGTCATTTTTTTCAAATATAAAGACAAAATCTCTCATATGTAGTACTCCTTTGTGTGTTGTAATTATTAATACATCAGATGTACAACTTGATCATTAAATTCACATATCAAAAGAGCACACTCATGTTTCTTTATATATATAACCAGACACTCATCAACAAACATGTCAGAATGTTCTGCACCACAGTCTCAACTTCAATATTTTATCAAAATTATCATGTCCTCAGAATTAAGAAATTGTTAATCATTCATTAATTAAAACCACCTGTCAAGAAAATTTGTCTGCCATGTCACTGTTACTTAAATCTAGTGTATTGAAAGTATATGATAGTACAAACTTAAATGTGAAAAATTGCTTAAAGATCTCATCTGTTCAGAACTTACTATATGTAGTAAAATGCACAGGATTGAAGCCAGTCCTTGAAATATTTACTTCTGTAGCTTTCTATATGCTTTATTTTAAAATCATTATACATGGATGACATACTTAGTGAAGTTTGTTACTACAATGATTGAATGTATTTAAAAAATCAGCATTAAGAAGAAACTGTTTTATTTGCAAACGTTTTCTTATAATTTCTAGAATTTGTAAATATCCCAAATGTTGTAAAACATATTGTTTATATCGAAATGCAAATATGCTTCTACCTCTAGGGTGAATATGCATACATTCTTAGCAAAGAGAATCTTGTATTTCTATAGTTAGTGAAAACTTGCTGTGTGTGTTTTGTAGTAAAATTTTCTAGTAAGATTTAAGGTGTTGTATTTTTGTAGTTTTTAAACTGGAGAAATTATATATCAGTAGCTGGGAGTAAAAAAATGTGTGCTGTTCAATGTTATAATGATATAACTTCTCTTTGCAAATGAAATAGTCATTTCCTCCCTATTATGCAAAGGAATATGTTATTTGAACAACTAGTAATCAAAATTAGAAAAGTACTTTTACACTAAGACGTGAAATTCAAGGGCATTTTAGAATATGAGTTTTCAAATGACTGACAGTTGTTTAGTAAAACTTCGTGTTGTATCACAAAAATAAAAAAGAACTCAAACATTTGCACAGGTACTTTATATTCATTACAGTAAAGTACTAAGTTCCTCTTTCACTTGGGCATCAAAATAGGTAATTTTTTGCAACACAGTCACATTTCTAAACTAGTTTAACTTACAGAAAATTTATGCTAGTAAAAATAAAGCTGATCAGAAATTCAAAGATCTAAGATTTTACATTGTTGGAACTGTTTTATGAATCCTGTTAGTATTATTACTTAATTCTCTGCTTCAGTAATAGTTTATTTCTCTACAGACTTATTATTTTAGAAACATTCATTACTATAGGCCTACCTTAATCTAAACTTTCAATGCATTGTTAAAATATCATACATGTATATAATTATAATATTGACATACACATTATCACAAAAAAACTTGAGTTAAATTTTTTATTTGACTATGAATTCCTTGTGTTAAAATTATTTTATAGCAACAAATTCAAAATAAACTGATATTAAATACTTTAAATCTTATGAAAACTTGGAATGGCCTAGTTGTTTACCTTACTGGGCTATAGACTATAAGGTCCAAGATTTGTGCTGTGATGCCACTGAATATGCTCGATTCTTTTAGATGTGGGAGTGCTATAAGAATGATAGTCAACCAATTATTTGGTTTAAAACCAAACAGAATGCTTATACTTATAGTAAGTGCTGCTGGCTGGTAGCTTCTACTGTAGTCAATAGTAGCTCATAATTAAGGATATACCTGAACCCTAGTGGTCTCTGACCTTGATGTTTATGTGCCATTCAAGTTGAAAGTTATCATATTCTTACACTGAAAATAGATTTCGGTAGATACTTACCTCACCTCACATAACAGCTTTTCTCAATCTTCTGCTGCCCTCTAACACATTGAAAAGATTAGCCTTTATACCCCATAAGTCTGAGCTGCTCATTTAGCATGCGACAACCCTCCACCACTAGAAGCACAAGACAATCTCCTACAGCAGTTGACTCCCTTTATACTACTTGACTTGAACCTTACTATCAAGATTAAGGTCACAAGAAAAAAAAAGAAGACGGACCGGATGTGGAGAGAAAAGGTGCAAATTGTGTTAGCAGAGGTATCTATCAAGAATCTACTTACAGTGTAAGCAAATCATAACTTCTGATACAATACATACATCCATTCACACAATAGCTGGAATAACACATTGAGTTAGTGGAGGTACCAGTGAAAGGTAAAACAAGATCCCCTGTGAAAAGCGTCCACACAGAATCAAATAGGTGTGTTCTGTAATTGAATGGAAGCAGACAGGGAGGACCACACCACTTCTGGAACAGGTATGCTTTTTACCCTCAAAGAAACGGAGTGTCATGAAATGACCAACATCAAGGCCTGGAGCCAGTAAAAAAAAGACCTCAGAAAACTATATATCAGGTGTAAATAAACAACGTGAGTCCCACTCCATCCTCAACCATACAAATGTGACCAGAAACAAACTAACTTGGGTAGGAGAAGAATCACAAGTAATATAAAGAAAAAATGGACACAAAAAGGTAACTCCAAATCCAAATGGAAAAAAACGTAATGTTAATGGCCAAATCCCAGAATTGTGAAGATAGAGGCATTCATCAAGACATTGCTAGATATCTACTCAACCCCACCTCGTAATACTGAGGATGTCCCTGTGAAGGACCTCAAGTAAGATCAAAACCAATATATGCAGTGTATGGTGGCCAGAGCAAGCAGACCATAAATAATATATACACCAACCCCTCCCATAAGCAAACAACATTTGCCAGACAAACTTCCAAATCAACCATAGGAGACAGGAAGTACAACAAACTGGACCCGGACTTAGAGGGCCGTGTTGAAGTCTCAACTCAATAGTAAGAACAGGGAGTCATACTGCACCTGGTATTATGAGCAGGAAAATAATGATTCTAAATCAATTGTAAGAGCAGGGAAGAAACATCATGCATCTGGCATTATGACGAGGATGTGGAATGCCTGCTTAACCATAGAAACAGGACATTGAACATCCCACAAGCAGTATTATGAGGTGAATGAAGTCCCCCAAGCTCAACCATATGAGCAGGAAAATAGAACATCCAACAACTGGAATTACCTAGAAGGGGGC